CGAGATGCAATAAAAATTTGTTGTGCGACGTACTATCTTTCCTGTGCATGCTGGGCCTGTTGTACCGTCATCATGCACAAAAAGTTCACATAGGAGGTTTCGACTTTGTAATCGAGCCGCTTTCAGGAAGAGAGGAACAAGTTGTTCAGTTGTAGACTCTTTTTTGCAGTTTCATAACATCATAATTTGCAGCGAGTATGCGCGCCCTGGCCGCAAAGTCCGGCATCAAAGATGAGTTCTTTTGTTCGGATGAAAGTTTCGTGGCGAAATGTTCGTATGCGCCGGAAGTGACGGTAGGCCAAAGAGATTCGCTCATCAGTTCATCGTACGAAAGTATGCCGCGAGTCACTAGGCGCTTGTAGGGAACGTGCACACCAGGTGTGCGCGCTTCCGGTAGGCCGCGCAGCGGGTGCTCGGCCTGGTAGCCTGGCTGCACCCAACCAGCTTCTGAGCATGCACCTCCTGAATTTCCGGAAATATCCCAGATGGAAATAAGCACCTGCCCGGCCCGCTCGGCGACATCTGCCAGGGCGTGTAGTAGGTCCCGCAGATTGGTGAAGCCACGCCGTCCTACTTGCCGAGGGAAATAGTCACGCCGAAACAAGTCCTGATCTCGGTCATCTTGATGTGAGGAGCCTAAACCTGCCCTGACGTCGTTCATTTTGTGAAGCATGGACGCAACATTGGCAGCCGCGTGGCGTCGCAACTGCTGGAGTTTGGACAAACCCAGATCCTCCTCGTCGCGTGGTCGGATGCTTGCAAAATAATTTTCGACTAGTTTCGGAGATTTTGGAGCGACTCCACCTGGCGCTCTGGCTCTCACCTCCTCATGAGCTGGCACCTCGTCCGGTTTCGCAATGGTGTGCACAAAATTCAGAATGACCTTTGCAGCGCTGCCGCTGCCGCTTTGATCCGAAGCGGAATACTGCGGCAATTCGCGTTCCAATCCGACCTGACTCAAGTACGCGATTTCCGGTAGTAGCGTTGCATCAGGAAGGTCTGTCCGCTCCTGTGCAGTATCGCGGTCATTGTCTGCACGAAAATGGTGCCTCGGTCGACCACCATCGCGGGTGCTCTGTTGTGTGTGCGGTCGAAAGGGTACCACGGCGGCGAGGTCCCGCAGGGTCCGTGCCAGGCACACGTACGGACGTTTGTCAAAAGCCGCGACGCAGGCAGGAAGAACCGGCGGAGAAGCCAGCACTGCCAACAGTTCGCTGTAAGTCAACTCTATTCTCTCCACGTCTCTTCCTGCGATGTACTGATGTGTGAGGGTCTGGCGGGCAGATACTTCGATGATTTCGTGTGCTCCGTACAGGGTGTAGTGATTCTGAGACACAAGTTCCACTGGGCGCTTTTCGCTATGCTCATCGGCCAAGGGGGCAAGTTCCGTGATTGCTTTTTGGAGGGCATGTCTGACAAGGCCATGCAAGTGAAACTTGGAAAATAACGCGGCTTCGAAATAGATTTTCTGAATCACAGTGTCTAAGCGGCATCGAAAATCCCGCGCACCATGTATAATAGCAGATCCGCCCTTCATCGTTTCTTCATCTTGGTAAAGCAGCTGGATTCGGCATGTATTTTCCTTCCGCTTCCAATTCCACTGCGGTCCTACGCGTTCTGCGAATGCATCACGATGTGGCCGATCTGGCTCCAGGTATACGCTCCGGAAGGACTATGGAAGTGCAGAAGCACGTAGGTAAGTTATTCTAGATTTGTTCGCGCCATAGGCAAGTCCTGCCTTGCAGTTGCGTAAAGTGGTGCTTTTTCGACACTGCAAATTAGCAGAGAAAACAGACGCAGTACTTCTTTCATTCGCGAAACACAAAAATAGAGACCAAAATGGCGTCTGCATCTCACTCCGGAGCGACACGTTATACATAACACTGACTCTGGCGTGCGAGTATTCCTTTCACGACGCCGAGAAAAAGATGGCGAGTGACTCCGATGATATAGGCCGCGGCAAATTGCCTCGGATGCCGCTTTGGTTTTTAGCTTTGCACGCGTCAACCACAACGTTGACCTACCGCTTCTGTTGCCATAAGTGGTCTACTTCGTCCCCGTGCATGGATTGCAAGATGGGCGAATCCATCAGGATATCGTGGGAGCCTTCGTAGGAGCCTTTCACGAACATGCGCGGGTGCAGGCCGTACACCACGTCGAGAAAAACCTGACTCTCATACGCGCTTATGTTCAAGCCTCCATGTATTCGATGCAGCTGCTCCTTCCGGATTTGGGCAAGGAACTCATCCGTGGTCAATGCACTGAGCGGTCGATCATCATTCCTGGCGGACGACTTCAACACGGCTCGCTCTACCTTGCTAGGAAGGGTCAAATATTGCTTGCTGTGATATAGCCATAGTGCAGGAAACTGCCACTCTTCCCACGACGTTTTCTCCCTGCCGAATCTGGTCCGGAGCCGGACCTCTTCTTGCGGTTGGAGTCGAAGTTCCTTCTCGACGAGACGAGTTAGATTTTGCATTTCTGTCTCGGACTCGGACCGCATGTCAATTCCATACAGAGACTGTTTTTCTTTCGTTTGTGCGCTTTCGAAATGGATTCCGTACTTCGACAATTGGAAGAGACGCCAGTTAGGAAGGGACCAGTGGTCTGCGGCTCCCTGTGCCGAAGAAAAAGAAACCAGAGGCACTGCACCTGAACAACTTCAATCAAAGCCAGACAGTCGCAAATGTACGTCTGCCGAGATGGTGATCTCGGCATAGAGACAACAAGGAATATAATATTGCGAACTAGGCATTCTGAATGCGAAGCATTCAGGAAAATGCCCAAGAATCCCGCCCGCCGGAGGCCGGGAAGACAGACAAATCCATGCATCTTTGCCAAAAGCTTTTGGTGAGTGCTGTTCCGGAGGTGCAGATGGCCAGGTTTTTTTTGCGTAAGTCATAATCATTTTCCGTGCTGTGGTCCGTAAAGAGAACGCACTGGTCGTCCTCGCGAGCCCCAGAAATATTGCTGTCTTGCCTCCAAATAGTGGGCTCCTTGTTAACAGCAATATCGACGCTTTTTTTCAGCTCCTCCAGAACCAGCCGGGTGTAGGCTACGGACTGCATTGTATACACGCCGGCACAAGTGGACACAGCTGCCCTGGCCTCGCTTGCTTGCGACTGGGCTACAACAACTTTCCTTTTCTCCTCTGCACTGCTTTCGTGGGGGAGGAGCACCCGGTCAAACTCGTGCGGTTGTGCATCGAATAAGTGCTCTCCCATCCGCCCCTCTCTGTCATCACTGAAAGGTGGGAAAGGCGTAAATTCTTGCGACAACTGCCTGGAGACACCCATCAAGCCGTGTTTGCCCAGGACAAATGATTGCGCCCAGGACAAATAATCGCGCCGATGCTGCTTAGAAATAATGTTCACTTCGCGGTCCTCCTCGAGAGAGGATCGCTTTTCCGGACGTTTTGCCCTCTGGTGCAGGAGTGATTGGTGGGCGCGGCCCGTCTCGATGATTTCTTTTTGGAGTGCTTCGGAGCTTTTCCCCCACACTGGGTGAAATTTGCCAGTGGGGCGTCCAATCCGAAGCTGTAGCGCAGCCGGCTGTGTCCATTCGGGGTTGGAACGATAAACCAGGTGGCCGAAAATCGAAGCGACGGCGCGCGGACAGTGCCCAGCCTCCAGGCGGTCTCCATCCTGCGGAGACGATGCTTGGTTTTGTCTGTCCTGCACAGGCTCTGCGTGGTAGCCCACACATTCCCACGAAATCACGTCGGCAGGCGTCGGAACCCAACCACTCGAGAGATGATCACCCTTGGCAACTTCGATTTCGCGGTCGGAAATGAAAAAGGACTTGCTATCCGTGTCGAAACGAAGAGGGCGGCTCAGCAGCGTCCACTCTCCTTTTCGTTTGCCTGAGTTGTGGTCTCTATGACGTATGCCTTCGGGGGCAGAAAAGTGCGTTCGTCTGCTCGAAATTTTACCGACGGCGAGGAGCTTGCAGGAGGGGTCGTCGCGCTCGCGAAGAGGCCTCCCATTCGCCATCGCGTCACCGGCGGCCTCCCGACCGCCTACAAAAGCCCGTTCGCCCTCCCTCGTATACTCCTCTATGATTGTTTCTTGTACTTCAACAGCAGATGCAATGTTGGACTCGAGCAGCTCCCAGCCATCAGGCGTAAGCGCGAGACGAAGACCGTCTATGCCGAACCTGGTGCTGTACGTGTCCACGGATGCGTAGGAGCGCACGGCCGTTGGTACGAAGAGCCCGTTGAGATGCACGGACGGAAAATTGTGCAGGCGAACCCCCTTCGAAGTGTCAACTTTTCGCAGGGGTACCTGAGACGCCAGTCTGACCCACAATTTCCACGGGCCTTCTTCGGTCTTGTACGTGGTTGGCGCCTGTGGTGGGAAAATCAGATGTTCGGTATCGAAGCCGACAAACTGCACGCGTACCTGTGCCGCGGAGACTTCCAGAACTCGGCCGAGCCGTCCGTCGTTGATCGTCTCCCATTCGCCTTTTTGGATGCTGAGGGCCCGAAGTGCCGCTCCCTCGAGGTGCTTCAGCGCGGCAGGGTGCTTCATAATCACAAGGTCTCCAGTCTGCAACGCGACTACGGTCCTGGCTGTGCACGTGTCACATGACCGCTGCTGCCACGTAGTGCATTTTGAGGACGGTCGACTCACGAGACATTGGCACCTGGGTGCTCGCTCACCATCACGTGTATCACTATTAGGGGAATCACGTTTCTCGTTGACAATAAACCGGAAATTAGAGGAGCTCGTTTTCAGGAGTGCTCTCTCTTTTGAGGAGGAACTGAAATGATGGAGACAGTTTCGCTCGCAAACGTCCAGGGACATGCGACCGTAGAAGGAATAGGTGATCGATTGACCCCCTTCCTTAGAAGATTCCTCCAAGCACGCAAGACTGTGGGAATACGACACGCCGAACTCGTCTTGGGTCGTTAGAATGCCCGGCGCGTCCACATTGAATGACGATGCGAATCCACCCTTGGGTTGACCGCCCGTGCTTGTCCTGCTAACGAATTTATTAAACCGCGGTACAAACGTTCCGGTATAAATGTTCCTTGCATCCAACGCAGCTGAAACGTTCCTTGTAGGGAAGAGCGCTGGGGACAGCGAGAGAAACCACTGGTACACAACGAAACTCTGGTTGGGGCGGCTCCAGTACGGCAGACTCAGATGCCCACCCAGACCCACACCATACCGATCCAGGTCGGCACAGTCACCACCAGCGATACCGTTCAGCTGGGACACACCGTCCGCAGTATGACAGAAGCTTGCTGTGTAGATCTCCAGTTTGCCAACACCCGACAGGTCTACAGGAACTTGGTTTCGTTTTTTTCGGAAGCAGAAGGGCGCACAGCTGCGCTTCTTGCTGTCGGTCGGCGATGGGCCAGTTGCCGCCGTCCAGGCAACGACGAAAAATTCCCGGCGCTCAATTTCTTGCAGGGCGTCCTCGAACGGTTGTTTGAGTTCTGCACCTTGCGGAAACCGGCGTTTGCTGGGGTCGAAGCTACGTAAGTGGGCGTGATGCGGCCGCAGTGGAATCCCCAGCACGTAGCTGCGAAGGACTTCCAAAAATGTCGTCTGACTCGTGTACCATTCACGCGCAAAAAATAAGGAGTCCTCTTCCACAAAGACGTCTCTCGGAAGTTGCAGTCGGTTGACCTCGACCTCGATCGGAACGATTCGTGGTGTGCTCACTTCAAGCTGATCGTCTACCAGAACGTAGCGCGGATGCCAAACTCCGGTCTCGTCCTGGCCAGCTGCGGCCTGCTGCGAGAAGAACGGCACAAAAAATCGGCGCCTCTCAAGCACGGCTCCTGTCCCGTCTTTCCATGTCCATGTCAGCTCATTTGCCCGCCAGAATTCACCCAGAAGAGAGGTCTTCGACGGGCCCTTTCCGCGCATTGGTAACCTCCAAAAGGTTGGCGCCAAGCTAACAGCATCGCTGCCGGGGAAGAGATCCCCGCGGTCCCGCTGGGCTGACCGCATGGCCATCTCTCGCAGTTGCCTCCCGAACTCGGCTTCCGTTGCTTCCGTGCGTTCCGGGATTATACGCTCCAGTACGGAATGCAAGCGATGCCTTTCTTCGGAAGACAAGCGATGCTTTTCTTCGGAAAAGGTCTTGTCGACTCTCAGGCGATTTGCTGCCATCCTCCCCATATTCAGCTCTTTACGGCGGATTCCGAAGCCGAGGTGAAGAAACCGAGATCGCATTAATTCTCGAAGTTCTGAAGCAGCGACGGAATCATATAAGGTCGTTTCTGGCTTCCGATACCGATCCATGATGAACGCCATAACGGATTGCGATGGTAAGACGCCTATTCCGATGAAAGTTGTCCCACAATATCCTCGAGCCTGCTCCACGGAAAAAAGGAAACTCGATCGATTCTCGACGAGAGCTTCTTCCATATTTTCTACGAAATGCAAATAAACTCCAGCGATAATCTGCTGTTCATAGATGTTTCTGGTCTTCACGCGAAAACGCGCCAGGCAGTTGAAATATACTGGAGCGCTACAAACGGACGACCTGTACGAACGGACAGTCGACATTTCTAATAAATTTCTTAACTTTCCTCTTCCTGCATGTCTTAACTTTCCTGCATGGGAAGGAGATAGTGAAAGGGACAAGTTTCCGCACCATAACGACATCGACCGCTAGGCGCCTGCGACTGTTGGCGAGCAGGACTTCGAGATCTATTTTTCTCGTGGAATCCGTGTGGAAAGGAAAAAGCCCATCTCGGTGCCAACTAAGCTCCTCTTCGCGCATATGGCGTGCGAAAAGAATATACAAGACCTTTTTGCGTACTAGTACAAAAAGTCAGCTACAACTACACAATATGCCGCCGTCACAGTATCTGTCGGAACTTGAGCATCGCAATGTTTTTTTCGGCTTTGTAAGAATGAAAATCACAAGATTGCTCACGCTCGAACCGCAAATTCACGCATTAAAAGCTTCCAAAGCGTCGATTGCCAAAATGGGTTTTCTGATCATAATTTGGTGAGAGGAGGTAATGCTGCTCATGACCGAGCCGCAAAACCGAACTGGTTTCGTGGGAAGACACCTCCGCGATACCCCTGCTTTTCGAAGGAATGCGAAGCTCGAAGTTGAAGGCATCCAACGCATCCAGGAAGTCATTCAAATTTTGCATGATTTGCGGTGAATTGCGCACGGCGGCATCCTCAGCGATCGTAGCTTGAATGTCTCCGGCCACATGTTCCACAAGAATCTTCGCGAGTGCTGATCCGGTCCAGATTCCTGCTTCCAGCTTTGCTGTCACGGTATACGGCTCGCCTTCCCGGGTTCCAAGGCGAAAGCGGGCACAGGAGGCCGAACCAATTTCGATATCAATAGTCGTATCGGTCTCATCCAGCAAGTACTGCGCTACAGCTTTTGCAAAAAGTGGTAAGAATCATGAGGAAAGAACTTGAGCACCCAGCATCAGACACATCCTCGTAATGTCTTTTATACTACATTCAGAACTAATATGACGACTGTTTGCTATCACGACGCCGGGACACGGAAGGTCGTGGACAGTTCTTCTCAGGCAAAACAGGTGGAGGACAGACATACTGGCGCCGAGGCTAAAATGATGATAATCATGCGCACACAAGTTGCCTCACGATAACAAGACAGAATCGGACGTTGGCATTGGTGCGGCCGGAAGCTCTTTCGCCGGATTGCTTGAAACGACAAAGGGATCCGAAGCGCTACCATCGATTTGTCCGCGAACGTGCTGCTCTGCCTGGACGCAAGCTTCTTCAAAAACCTGCCTGAGCGAAAGTTCCTCCATCACCGTCGTTGCGTATTCGCTTTGAAGGTCGGAAAACACATCACTCGCGAGGACCTTACTTGGTGAGTAAGTCGGAGAGTACAGACCCAACAATGAGAAACGTGGGTCCTCTCTTGTACTCAAAGTTGGCCGCGAAGAAGGTAGATCCCGATATCCGTGCCCATACGTGTGTTTGGCGTCCTGCCAACCAGATACGGCCTCTGGAATATACATATCCGCGTTTTTTTCTGGACAGCAACCCCGGACCCGGCACGTGCATGTGTCTGTGATTTGGGCAAGGCTAGCTGCTCGTCTCCGGCTCAACGGCAAAACGATTTCCGCCGGCAAAACCAATAGACGCTCGTGAAATTCCGTTGTGTATCGAACTGAAGGTTGCGCCAACCCGAGAGAATTTAGCTGTTGGTATCGCTTTTGTAATGCAGAACACGACCAATAACAAGAATCTAGAGAAGCGCAAAGGGTTCGCCTCTCTATGATTGGCAGCTATTTTGAGTCGCACAGGAGGAAACAATAACAAAGAGTACAGTTGTTGCTTTCTACCAACAAGTGGAATTTTGCAAGTCCTCACAAACGGACAATTGCATCTGCCGGTTGAGAATATTTCATTCAAAGTGATACATTCCGCAAGAGCGCGTGCGACAGGGGACTCAAAACTGCCTCCCGGGCCACGCTGTAGAAGTAGCATTTCACAAACACAATAGCATCAAAATAGGAGCCCTAAACTGAACCCTTTCAACCCTGGAACCCTTCAGCGGCGGCTGGGTCGCTGGAGGGAAGAAGTCACGACGATATGACGGGCGACGGATCCGGAGGCGCGTATCATGTGATGGTCCTAAATGAAGAGGTCAACCACTTAGCCTAATCCTAAATCCCGAAACCCCGAAAGAAAAACTGCTTGTTGCCAGTTGGGCCCGGGGTGGGGAAGTGCGCAACAGAGTAAGCCAACTATGAAGACATTTGTAAAAAAACCCTATCAAAAAGCCTTGCGCTCTGATCCTTGCGGGCGTGCACTCCCATCAGGTTCTAAAGCTTCAGCAGTGCTGAGAGTGCTCCGACCCTAAACCTCAAGACGGAAGTCAAGAGACAAACACAGTAAAAATAGGGTGTCTGACAGGTAAGGCACATTGTCGATCCTGTATCACAGTTTCTCCCTGCAAGGACAAGACAAACAGCAATTGGCGGGTTGAGGACGAAGATTCCGATGCATATGTTGAGTCCTGCCTTAGCTGTTGCCGAAATGGTTCCAAAAGGGTCCACACGCTGCTTCGTCGGCGTAGTCAGAGTACAGTCGTAGTACCCAATCGGGGACCTGACCGCTTTCTGGTTCCGGCACACAAAATCTTCTTCTTCGTCAGTGGCTTGTTTTGCGTACGCCCGCAAACGCGGTGCGGTCTGCATCATCTGGAGGTGAAAAATAGTGGTCTTGCGATCTTGACGCAATTCGCAGACGTGTGGGTGCTGAGCGTGAAAGTAGGACCCGGTGCGCCTGTCGTGGAAGTACCAGCCAGTGCACCTCGACCTGGTCCACCGTTGTCGCCTTGCCGGGTCCAGGTTTGGATTGGAGTAGAGAACAGACAACTGTGCGTGTCGCGGTCTATGTTGCTCTTCGCCCGCGAGCTCCCGCAGCCAGTCGGCTGCAGGAGAGACAAGCCTGGTACGCGGTACGTGCGCCGGGCTTCGTGTTCGCCCGCCGGTACGCGCGTCGAGCCGCAACGTCTCCATCATCATCGTCATCCGGTCTACAAGATCGTCGTCGTCGTTGTCGCTGTCGATTTTCTCGATTATAATGTCATCATCTTGCGTCGAAAGGAAAACTTCCCTCGATTATACCGGTCTCGGAGTTAGAAGTGTCTGATTGCGAAAATTGGGACAAGTCAGTTTGTTTCTGAGAGGGACATCCAGAGCTTGCTCTGATTTTTGCGCGGCAGCAAAGCTCAGATCAATTTGTAATGCACAAGGAAGAATTTGAATTAGAATGCAAAAAGGCTGTAAAAACATGTCAATGCGCTGCACAAAAACTGGTCAACAGTGACAAAGTCGGCCTCCGTTTTCCCGAGCTTGAAACATGTTTTTTCGAGTCAGTGAGTTACTTTTGGAAGATGAAATGCTTGTCATCATGAAGACGCACCTGCAAAGCCGAGCCTGATTCGAGGAAGTCGAAATATTTCATTTCCATATGTCGTTTTTGCTTCTTTCTGTCTCTGTGCTCATCGGCCATATCGCGTAGCAGGTCCAGGAGTTCGTCAGCCAGGCACAGGAAAACTGCGTGGTATCCGATCACGCGCAGCCGCCCGTTCGCAACGCAACGACTGACCCCGTCGTTCCAAACTTGCGTGATTTTTCTCCGTGCGTCCAAAAACCAATCGACCCCTTCGGCATCCAGCATGCTGACATTTCCAGGCTGCGCCGGAGGGCGGGTATCAGAAGTGGATGACGTTGCTTGACCCACCGAAAAGATTCCGGCGGACTCCGTGGTCATCGCGCAGCTCCCGAGCGGACCGTAGAGCATTATGGCGGAAAAAACATATAACATTGCCTGCTGCAGCAACATCATGGAAGAGATTCGGCTGCTTGGTGCTAGCAAGCTCTGCAGAAGAGTAGATTATACCGTGGAAAAAAAGCGCCGCCGGTCACGCTTACACAATCGTAGCGTCGAGGGGCACTCCAAAAGTTGCCGCAATAAAATGAAAAGGAAATTTGAGATGAGTCAATCTATCAATCTTACACACTGGCGCTGCTTTTTAATACATACCAATTATGGCGTCTCATGAAACCAAGAGAGACACGGCCAGAATTGTATTAGAATAGAGAATATGCTGGCAGTGGAGGCACCAAAGGAAAAGAATGCGTAAAATAAAGCTAATAAAATCATGCATATACAACTTAAGTTCTCGAAGCGTTGCTGACTGAGAGACCACAGAAAAGCGAAAATGTGATATTTGAGGTGACCAAGATTAGACGATTGCGTGATCATTCCTCGCAACGCCGAGATCTCAACAGAAAAATCTCTGTTGTTCATTCAAAGTGTCTAGCAGACCGTGGAACTACCTCTGTAAGCATTAAAAGTGTCTAGCAGTCCGTGGCGCTAAGGTAAGAAAAAAGGGGACTACTTAGTATTTTATTCGGTCTCACGCGAGCAATGGGAAATATTTTTGGCTGCCGTGGCTTTGATGATGATTAGTTCGAGCGGGGCCCGGCGCAACTCCCTCCTCCGACGCGCGGCAGGAATAGCCTGCCCTGATACCCTAGTGGTAACGTCGTTGACTGAGGCTAGGTTTTTTTGTCATTTAAGTGCGGAAAACCCTCACGCGGGATCATTGGGCCTTGCTTCATCCGGGGGCTGGCATGTTTCGCACATTCCGAGGAACAGGGCGGAACTACCAGTACCAAAAAAATAAACTCCTCCTGCTCAATCATCCGAAACAAATCAAATAAGGTGCTTTGCTTCCCGGACCGGAAGTCCGTAGCTAGCGCACACTCAGAGGGCGGAGTTTGTGCTACCCAGGCAGGTCCCAGCGGCGAGCCGTAAACCGAAGAGCCGGCCAACACAAAGGAAGTGGGGCAAAAGTAGGGCGCCCCAGCGCGGCCAGAGAGCCCCCGCGGCATCGGCGCGCGCGGGCGCGAGAACGCAGGGTAGGCCAGCAGAGGCACAGGCCGCAACGAAGGGCGAAAACTTGTGCCAGCGCCACAGCAGCAGGAGGCGAAGGGCAAGGGGATCCGGAAAGTAGTCTGGGGAGACGAATCACGAACAGCTAGTCATCTAAGCCAAGGCCAAGGGCGCAAGCCACGGCCGACCGGCCTGAGAGCCACCCAGAGGCCGGGAATGTCTCTCCTGGTTGCGGCTTCGCCGGGCTTGTTGCGCCATTTTTCTCTAGTATTTCCACCAGTGCGGGCCGCCACTATTGAGGGGCGTCGCTAGTTGTGGCTGCGGGCCCATTTTGTCGCGATAAGGCCACTAAGTAGGATTTCTACTAGTGACCCTTTTTCAACTAGGAGCTTTTTACTGGTGACAGGATTCTTACTAGTACGTCGCTTGCACCCCCTCGCGCGGCAGATTTGTCACAATAGTATTATAGGCAATTGCTCAAGAAGAAGAACATCGCGAAACAAAATTGATGCCCATGATTCTGCGCCTGCTAGCCATGCCTTGAATAGATAATGAGGTCCCCTTTTTCCATTTTTCTTTATACGCTGTTACTTTTGATCTCCACCTGTAGGCATGTTTTCTTGATGTGTACTTATTTTTTCTTAGTGGAGGATCGTGTCGAATATATTAGTTTGAGCTAGCCCGGGCAGCGTATTCGGGACAAATAAGTAAGTCGCGTCCTCATGAATGTTTGTGATTGCGTGATTGTCTGTGTGCCAGTCCGTTCCATCACATTGGCAGGGCGATTTGGTCCTTGTCGACATACTTCTAATTTGGATCGCGGTAGATCGAGAGCCGTGCGTTGCAATGATGAACTTTCAATCGAAATGATGCTGTCGCGTCACGATGTGGATCTTGTACAGGACGCTATTTCATGATATTTTTTCTTTGTTTGTGTCCACGCGTCAAGGTGGGAACGCCTCTACTCACCTATTTTCCTAGCGCTGCTGCAATAAAAATCCGTTGTTGAGACTTTGCCCTGCTGAAAAAAGAACTGGCACTTGTGGATGAAGCTACCTCGTCGCTACAAAGCTCCTAATACGAAGACCCATGCTAAGTCTTGTTTTTTAGTGAAAGGGAAGGTTTGAGAGCACAGGCGGTTTTTCAAAGTAAGAGTTAAACAAAAAATATTACTCCGATTCTTTGATCATTCTGTGAGTTTGAAAGTTTGAAAGCAAGAAAGTTCGTCTGTCAAGTCAAAGTTCTATTTTTCTGTTGAAGCGAGTTCCTTTTGAAAAGAGTTCAAGCTCCTGTTTTGAAATAAAGCAAAACTTCATGATTGTTTTGTATTGATGCGTTAAGATGGGAACGCGTTTACTCACCTTTTTGTCTAGCGCTACTTCAATAAAAAGCCCTTTGTTGCGAAAAAACCTTGAAAAAAGACCCTGATGACTACAACATTGGACTACGTAGGAACGAATTTGTCGAAGAGTTTTTTTTAAAGAAATTTGTATCCTGGTAAAAATAAATATGAAGGTCGTGATTTTTTGATCGTTTTGCTTCTGTACTTCATTTCATGATCGTCTGCCAAACGTCATCAATATCACTGCATTTCACAAAAAGTGGAGGGCAGAATAAATATCTCATGAACTATGCACCGACGCCGTCCTTCTGCTGCATCTTGTTAGAGGTTCACCAATCTCATCGACGCGTTCGTCACTGGGTTTCATTCTCTGAAGACTTGTACTCCGACACGATACTTTGAAGAAACGAAAAATATGATCCCATCCCGAAGACGGAAAATGTGAATAACTGCGTGTTTGGATACGATATGCCTGAAGCAACACGCGCGAAAGCGAAGCGACCGACACAAAAAACATTCTGGGAGACGCCCACTTTCACGCGGATCAAAAAATGACATTCAAATTATGTGACAATTGATGTCGTCGCACATCTATCCAATTTTTTGAGAGACCACACATTATACAACACTTCTGCAAGCTCGATCTTTGTTTTGTATACACTTATTTGTATTGATAATAAGTAGTACACAAAAGTGAAAGTATAGTCAGTATCTTACAACATTCACCGGCTAGCCCATATCGGACCTGACGGACTATCATATTTCTGAAACGAGATCATGGTGAATATTTTTCTACATTGTTCTCTGAGTTGTAGAGGAGGAAAAAGTCAAGTTATCTGCTGCATAGTAGGATGTAAAGTTTCACCGATAATCAACCTGATTTTTGTGAAACAGAAAGATAACATGTTCGACAAGCTCTACCACTAAAATACAGATCGTTCCATCGTAAAATTTCTCCGAATGGAGTTCTGTATCGTCAATAATGAAATCTCATAAACCCACTTGCCGATCCATCATGCTTTATCGTCCAAAGATACGAACTTTCTTCTTATGCGAAAATTGCTTAGTTTAGCTAGTTAGCATTCCAACACACGACAAGGGCCGAGATGAAAGGGAACGGCTATAGGGCTGATCGAGATCATCGGAGTAGACCTCGTCATCGCGCATTTTCTTCCCTTCGCACGACTATTCTTGGTCGATCGTGTTTCCGATTTCCATCCACTCGCCTCAATTATGATAGCCGGAAAATTTTCGCTAATCTGGTTTGGTAGTCAGTGTTTTTCCCCGGTCTACTGAGAGATGGTGCCAGGAGGGCACCTTGTCACTTCTATCGCCGAGCGGGTGCTTGAAATAGGAGCGGACGGCATTCAAACCCGTTTTGTTGAGTAGTGCGCTTACGGGTAGTAGGTAATGCGAGACCGATTAGAGCCTTCTGTCCTCTTACAGGTAGTAAAGCTGGCTGAGTCCTCTGCGTCACATGATATACCCCGGAAAATCTTTACCAGCATCCACACATTTGTAAACCAAAAAGCTTGCATGTATTTGTTATTTGCTTTAGAGCAAATAACAATATACATGCAAGACACATTCTAATTCCGTACCAAAAATTTCGATGCGTCTAGGATTCGTGTATCGAAATTCTTACTGCGCCTTTTCTGACAATCATGAGTGCACAGACAGGCAAAGAAATGAAAAAGGCGACCACGACCATGACTAGTCTGTAGCATTCTATTTGAGAGATGCAAAACAGAATTACGCACTTCTTTTGTTTGTTTTACAAATACGAGGAGCTAGCGTTTTTCTTGGCGATAAAAGTTGGCTTTGGATGGATCATTTGAAACAGAAATTGAACGCCCCTCTGCCGCGCTTCCTCTTTCTCCGTGCGTCGCGCTTCTTAAAATCCGCAGTTGTAACTGAAACCCCAATCATATGGGGATGGCGGGGTAGGTGGCGGGGAAGGCGGGCCATAACTCAGCGCCGGGCTCGCCGATCTGGACCGAGTATTTTTATGCTGAAGTTCGCGGTTGCGTTCGTCCTCTTCCTCCCTGCGTCGTGCTTCGTCTTGCCTACGCCGCTCTTCTTCTTCCTCCCTGCGTCGCGCTTCTGCTTGCCTACGCCGCTCTTCTTCTTCCCTCCTGCGCTTTTCTTCTTCTTCGGCTCGTTTCCGGTCTCGCTCCCTCTTCTGGTTTCGCGCTTCCTGCAGTGCGGCTTCTGCCTCGTTTTTTTCGCGTTGGGCTTGATTCCGCTTCTCGCGCGCTTCATTTAGTTCCCGTCTTTTTCTACTGAGACGGTCCGTGACCTCGGCCAGCCGCTGTCTCGCGCGCGCGGTGTCCGTGTCGTTGTCCTGCTGCTGTTTCCGGAGCGCATGATCTTTTTCGCGAAGTTCTTGCTGGGCGGGGTTTAGGTGAAGGTGATGCAGGCAGCTTAGCATCGAGTTTTCACGCTCCTCTGTCTCCCTCATCCAGCGCCGGTCGTCTTCCTCAAACTCCAGCCTGTTCCGGCGAGCAGCTCGTCTCAGGGCCATGAGTTGTGCATGCCCTGTTTCCATGCCCTCACGCTCATGGGTAATCGTCGCGATAGAGTCTTGCGCCTTCCCCAGTCTGATGCAGTGCAAATGTGGTGGGATCAGAGAAAGCAAGTTTAGTAGCAGGCCTAGTACCTGAGGAGGTAGCGTATCTCAATCGTGCTGCAATTGAATGATTATGTGCGGAAGCGTGCCTCGGACGCTGATGTGACGCTTTGAATTATGACCCACCCATATCAATCTTTTGCGCAACTGCAACTCACGTTGTGAATAGCAACAGAGCGATGTTGATTTCTTCGCAATCATGTAATCTGTATACTATACAAGTATGGTATTTAAGTTAGCAATTTTACCCCCACCAAGCAAGATGTCGTGCGTTGGCATGGGAGAGCAAGTACCCCGCATGATCACGTGTGGCAATTGTAACACTTTGCATTTTTTCTGAACCAATGACTATGATACTTGCATCAGATAAGCTGTGTCTCAAGGTCGAGCCTTATGCTGCGCTCGTTTGCGCGTGCGTTTTCGCGTATCTTTTGCTGCTCCGAAAGGGCTGCTGCTATCTCGCGCAAACTTTCTCGTAATCTTGGTCATGTTGAAAAGAGACCCGCCCCTAGATTCCAGCGATCTTTGTAACTGCAAGCTCTGATAAATATGTTGATCAATGGGCAAAAAGAGAGGCAAGGTCGCCCACTATCAGCAATTCCTATGCAGACGAGAAAAAGCACATGATAACAACTCCTCACGATGTTGTCGAATCACGACCAAATTTTTATTTTTCCTCTTTGCGAATTTGTCTTGCCGATCCGAGCACATGCAAGATGGTCGAGAGACTCGCTGCAACGATGTACAAAAATACGCCATGTTTCCGCGGGGGGGGCGTTTGCATTGCGGTATTTCGTTGACATCGCGATCAGCCTTCGCCCTATTTTCTCTCATGGCGTTTTCCTTGTCTTGGTCTTTTTTTCGGTTCCATGTCTGAATTTCATTCCTCAAGAGGCTCCGCTGCTCCTCGTATCGCAGGGTTCGCTATCACCGTGAAAAGCAGCCCAGTCCCCCATGCATCCTTGCACAAAAGCGGCACGTTTAGAAAAATAGCAGACGCTCTGTTTCCAACATGATGCGGAGTGCAATTACTGTGGGCAGATTCTATTTGTCACGCAAAAATACAATTTCGATCATCGAGCTCGCGAACATCTAGCGTCGCTGCAGCTGCCTGATCGCAAGCGTGTGCATGGTCGAGGTTTGGTGTCCCCAATCTGCGGATCATTCACTATAGCTGCTCTGAACGGCTCGGTCAGGGCACCACTAGCAAGAAAAAATCATTCTTACCACTGTCTCTGTCAGAGGCGAATGTATTCCGCAATAAAATTTGTTTAAAGATCATGACCGACGGGCTAGTACTTTTCGCCGGAATAGATTTTCGCGTCGCTGTTCTTCTGCCTGCAGTATCATGTCGGCGAGTCTTTGCTCGTACCGAGCCCGCTGGGTATTGTCCATCTGATCATCGCGAAGTTCGTCGTTTTGACTCCTGTATCACAAAGAAAATGAAAAGCCCACCACACCAGAGAAAAAATAAATTTGTCATGATGTTTTTTGATTTTGTGTCTTTGATGTTCAGCATGAGAGGTAATGTTTTATCAGCACCTTTCTTGACCTTGTCACACTAGACGGGATTACGTTCTCCATCATGCACGACAGAAGCTTGTTCCTCCTGCTGCAGATCATCGCCAGAAGCTTTTTTTGTGACAGAAAAACAGCAACGCAAATTCAGCTCCCTTTCTGGTACGGATTTACTTTTCTTTCGGATATCCAGATGCGCTCGCGGCAAAGCAAACTTGCTTCATGTCGCCGCTCTGCGTCCTCTTCTCCAGTGCTTATGTGCATGTCCACTTCTCTGTCATGATTTCCTCGAAGCAGAGCGACGCCACGGGAGGAGTCAATGATGAGCGCGCGTGGTCCCACAGAAAAGTTGTAGCATTACATATGGATAATTGATTTGAGCTGGGGGGATCCCCGGAAGACAAGAGTAGAGAGGTCCACATTTATACTGTTGAGCCACACGCATAAGTCTGGTCAAGCACAAGCTCCAGCGTCGGCGTAAAACGCACCTTTTTACCCTTGCGCACCACTGTGGTCTTGCCTGCAAAAAATTAAAATTCATGCTACACTAGTACTTTTCTATGTGATACGCGCGCACTTGTCGTAGCGGCACTGGAATCGTCGATAAAGGAGGCACGACGTCGCAGGGATCCCTGAGTGGACCAAGTGGCACGCCTATCAGACCAGCGACTTCCTTGCAAGCGCTCAGGTTCTTCTGGTGCTGACAGCGGTGCGTCTTCGTTTGGGAGAAGGCACCAAAAACCTCTTCTGCTTTGGAGTTGTGTGCGTTCGACACGGAAAGCTCCCAGGACGCCGAAGGACGTGCGGGATACCAGCTCCGACGAAAGCCAGGTCAAGAGGATCCGCATAGTATCTGTATTCTCAGGCGTATCAACAAGAACCAGTAATACACAAGACTTTGTTCTGAGCTATTCAACACATTAGGTATCTTCTGTTGCAACTTTCGCGTTCGGTGAGAGCCTGGTGCTACATTATGCATGATAAAACTTCAGTAGTTGATCACCTCTGCGCCTACTACTGTTTTGTTGCTATACAGCTTTGCGATAGCCGACTTTTGAAGACGACTAGAAAAAGGAAAAAGAGGCTTGTTCGTCTGGTTGCCGCTGTTCTCGCAACAAAACACCAGGGGAAGAGACGAACTAATGAAGTTTTATCATTCACAATAAGGAGAGCCTAATGCTACTAGTGCTCCGGCGTACATGCAGCGAGTAAATGAGAACGATGATTTAGGCAAATGTCAAATTTCTCGTGCAAGCGAAGGCGATTTTAAGCAAAAGACTGGCACAGACCAGGCACATTGGAGGTAGAGGACTTGCGATAATGGTAAAGCACCAAGTGAAATCCTGGGGAGAAAAACAAGGCTGGGGGAAGTAGGATGCTGGCGGATCACATAACAAAACCAGTTCGTGGGCTAGGTAATGCAATAGGTGGCACACGCCTACGCTAAATTTTCCACCAAGTCTACAGTTGCTCCTTCGCACATCATGCGACTAATCATCTTGTTCATGATCGTGATCACAATGCTGTTCTTGTAGTTGTACGGATCCTTCGCAGCATGTAATGGCGACATGCACATCAACAATGGCATAGAATACATAGTTGCACACATGGATCTTCTCGAAAGGAAAACGAAGTGGTTTCCCGGCGTCCAATTTACCATGTCAAATAAAGATCCGGACCTTTTCAGTACAGCAATCATTTTTGGTTCTTGATTCTTCAGCATCTTCAACTGCGCATCTATTTTGTACCTACTTGCCTTCCTCTCTTAGCCTTGGTTCACTTTCATTCTGATTCTCGATCTTCCAAGGGCTCTGGACGTGTGAAAAAAGTCAGAAAAGGAAAGGCACTCACTAGAGAATTGCAAATATTTTCTTTCACTATTTATGATTGATGAACATTCGAAATGTATTCATCTGCGCAACTAAGTGACCACACAGGAGGACACCTCTAGAGCTACGTCGCGCGCGTGCAAGCTCTTTGGGAGAGCGAGAAACATGATATTTTTGTCCTACTGCGAGAATACGCCCATTGCCATTGGGCATGTAATGCATTTCGAGTTTCTGAAAATTACTATCCAAGTGCTTTTCATTCTTCCAAAGCCCAAATTCATTGTCGACGACCGAATTGTACATGTTCCACAAACAACATAGCTTTCCGGATGTATGATCGAGCGTGCTGTGCTGGAGTCTAAGCCGATACATCGTGGTGCTGAATGTGCATCCAAATCTTACACTGCAATTTTCCCTGATCTGTCATAGCTAAAATATGTACTCGCTGAAGAAAAGTGAAACGCTGCCAAGCTGAGAAGACGGTCTACTTCCTCTAAGTGCATGCAGAGAAAGACTTCCCAAAAATTATTCATCTCAACAAACAAATGAATTCAAGCACAGCAGCCACTTGTCTCGCGGGCGACGACTCACATGTACTGCTGGTGGAGTCTTCATGAATCGAAAAGTAGCTGAAAGCAACCTGGGAAAACGGCAACCCTATGGCGCTGCACGGCGCTTTTTGATATTCTTGCCCACCCTTCTAGAGCGAAGTGCAGCTATTTCGCTTGTGTCGTGGTAAAAACTGTTCTTTTTACCGCAGTACCTGAGTATGTCTATAAAGTTATTCGCGACAGAATCATACTCACGAAATAGAAAAAAGCGACAGGGCGGATTCGCGGGCGCATTGTTGCGAGAAAGTTGATGTACGTCGAACTCTCGCCCTTTTGTAGTATCGCTACGACTTATCCACTTCACTCTTCTCCTTTCGGAGACGGCTAGTGGAATCCCGAAGCTGCTCCGTGTCGAGTTTTTCGCGAGATATGTCCTCACATACTTTGTCGAGGTCGCGCTGATGCCTTTCTGTGTCCCTCGCCAGATCTTGCTTCTGCTGTCGTACTCTTTGGTCCCGTTCCACCAAAGTTTTCAGGCATTTGTCTACGTCTCTGTTCGTCTTCATAACAGCCTCTTTCTTCTGAGCTGCTTCGCGTAGTCGTCTTTCACTGGCGGCGCGTGCGTTTGCAAGCTCGCGCGCAAACGCGTCCGCGTGTTTCTGCTCCTCCCTGTCGTAATTCGCGAGCTCCGCGTCCATTTCCTTGATGCGCGCGTCATTTTCCTCGGACCTTCTCCTGTACTGGTCTTGCAGCTCGGCCACTGAGAGTTTAAGCTGCTCATTTTGGTTCCGGTCCGCTTCCATTGCCCGGGTTCCTTCGATCATGTCCTTATCCTTTTCCTCGCGTTTCTGGCTCACAAGCGCTTTCCACGAGGCCACGGTCGCATCATTCTTTTCGCAATCTTTCGCGACCTCCTCGTCACGAAGCGCCTGTCGCTCCCTCTTTTCTGCGTCATACGCGTTTTTTTCGTCCTGCAGGTTTTGCCGCAACATGGCTGCGTGTTCTTCTATTTCTTTGCGCAGGTCCGCGAACACGAGATCGAGCTTTTTTTGGAGCTTCTCGTCGACGGTTTTGCGCTCTTCTGCGCGTGCAAGCTGCCGATCCTTCCGGCACTTTTCGTCGTCCGGCGTCTCCTGATTCTGTTCCGAAAAGCACTGGACTGCCATATCCTGGAATCGCGTTGATAGCTGCGTCACAGCATCGTCATCTTCACCACTGGTGACGCCTTGCGTGGCCCCACTGTTGCTGGCTGTGGCGCCGCCTGACCCGCTCAATCGCCGGCCTGCTCGATGAGGCGCCGCCTGACCCTGCTCGATGCGGCGCTGCCTTATTTCGCGCCTCAGAAACAACGCAATTCCGCTACCGTCGTCCGAGTCCTCCGTGGCGCTTTCTTCTAGGTCGGAGCCGCAGCCCGATCCCCCCGTTTCCTCGTCGGAGCCGTCCGCGAAGCACTCCGCTCGCTGGAGTGGCAACGACTCATTTGGAAGAGACTGGCTTCTTTGTTGTGGCTGACTGGCGTGACAGTATTGCTGGAGGCAAACCAACATCGCCGCTGCATACTTCTTCCATCTGGTGAGCATCGGCATTGTAGTTTTGCTTTTGAAATAAACAAGCTATAAAGTCGATGTTTCTTACTTTTTATGTTTGATAAAGTGTGCAGTTTTTTTACCACCGCATAAAAAAAGTATGACAATCAACAACGGAAAAATAATATGCTGAGTCTACTTACACACTAACACGTAGGCAGTCCTCTGCGCCTTTCCAATTGACGTCTGGGCAGTCGCTTGCGGAAGAAAAATAATAAAAAAATAAAGTGTTGTATCTGCCGTTTTAAACTCATGAAGATCGGAGAAAGATTAAAGAAAAACACCTCAAGAAGAGTTTTTGAGACTAATTACACTATGTTGCGTTGTGTACTTCCATACAGGAGAGGTAAAGATCTTCCTTCTGATTCCGTGTTGGATCCAGTACAAAGGCAGCTACAACTACCAAAAGCAGCTAAAATGTCCAGGCACCTGCAACAATCTGCGGAACGTGCGCGCCTGCGGCAACTCATCACGCGATCACCGTGCCTGCTTACGTGACTCAGTACTTGGTCGCTAACAGCATCATCTCTTTTGCAATTTTGTCGCGTTCGTCGTGTAACTAGTGTCGGAGAGCGCTTTGATTTTCTGGAGCAACCCATAATTGGCAGCACCAAAATCGATGATCCTGATCTCGGAGCGCACAGCTGCAGCTTTCGCCGTGGCTATCCAATTTAGTAGAGGCTATTTTTCACGGAGGGGGTTTTCCTATATTCCGTGTCTGATGGATCTGTGATGGTGCGAAGCCATTGCATATGACAGCGAAGTTATTTTCAGAGGTATCGAGCACCGGAACCGGATCAACTTCAGAGCAGATCATCTCGTCCGCCTGTGAAGTCTGAACGCTGTGAAAGTCTTACACTTAGCGGTCCTCTCGAAGCCACACCCACTTCAGTTCTGTGCAAAATACATAAACACTGCTTTCATGTAGAGTATGTCTGGTCTGGAACTTTGATGCTACTTCGAAACAAAAGACGTGTACAGGAGGAGGTGGAGAAATTCATCATAATAATCTCGTATCTCTTGTTTGACTTTGCAGGCAGCGGCATGACCACAGAGCACTATTCTTGTACAAGGATGCTGTTGCAATGTACGCAGGGCCGTGAGTGGTCGATCACGCTCTTATGGTGGCGCCATGCTGCGACAATTCATTTGTTGATTGTAGAGTGCAGATTTTTAGATACCGCTGTATGCATTTACACTACAAAAAATTGTTGCTGTGCAGCCATTCGGTCTCGACGGCCTCGAGCGGTCTTGTATCCCTTGCAACAGGATCATGAGATCAATCAGCGGCCCATCTCTGAAAACCACCAGGCTGCGACACTTTCGTTCCACGACCACCTGCTGACGAAGATAAAACAGAAACCGTCCCTTGAACAAACGATTACGACAAGACAACTTCACAAAATTTTGATTGTATTTATTAACGAAAAAAGTGTTCATGTAGTTTTTGTTACATTGATTCATCATAGCGCCGGCGTGAGTGATAATCACGGCGGGAAAATGCGCAAAATATATTATTTTTTGCCAAAAAGTGCGATCTTGCGTGCGCTTGTACCAGCCGCCAATTTTTCCCCCAATATAGTTGGGGCTGAGTCCGTTACGGCTCGTTACGGCTCGTTTGACCGTAACGAACGAATTTTCGTTCGTTCGTTACGGTTCGTTACGGTTCGTTTCACCGTAACGAACGAACGAACGAGTCCGTTTGTGTCATCAGAACGAACAAACGAACGAACGAACGAACGAACGCACTGGCTTTGCCATCCAAACGAACGAACGAGCGAACGAATGCGTGTTCGTTCGTTCGTTCGTTCGTTCGTTCGTTCGTTCGTTCGTTCGTTCGTTCGTTTCACCGTAACGAACGAACGAACGAACGAACGAACGAACGAAGTAGCTTCGCAGGTTCGCTAACGACCAAACGAACGAACGAACGCATTTCGTGAGCTCGTTATGGTTCGTTTCACCGTAACGAACGAACGAACAAGTCCGTTTCAGGCAGCCACGCAAACGAACGAACGAACGAACGAACGAAGGGGTTTGTGTTCGTTCGTTCGTTCGTTCGTTATGGTTCGTTTCACCGTAACGAACGAACGAACGAACGAACGAAGTGGCTTCGCGGGTCCGCTAACGACCAAACGAACGAACGAACGCAATTTCGTGAGCTCGTTATGGTTCGTTTGCCCGTAACGAACGAGCGAACGAACGAACGAACGAACGAACGTACCAAACAGTATGGCAATAGAACGAGCGCGTGAGCCAGAGCAAAAGCTGAAAGGAACAAAATGCAGAGTGCCGTCGGGGGAAATATTCCGCGCGACGGTGCTCTGCGTTTTGCGTGAGCGTGATTCACGAGAGGGACCCTGAGACCCTGAACAGACCGCGATCTGCCTACCCGTGCCAGACACGGAGAAAACGAAAATCCAAAAGGACGAAATGAAGGCCCCAGCGATCACGAAGGGGGAAGTCCGCGCTGCCTGGCTGCAGGGCACATCGGGGCGCCACCCCAGCGGCTCGACATCCACTACCCATGACCGTCAGCTGCGCAACGTGCGCCTTTTGAGGCAGAGCAAAAGCTGAAAGGAACAAAATGCAGAGTACCGTCGGGGGGAATATTCCGCGCGACGGTGCTCTGCATTTTGCGTGAGCGTGATTCACGAGAGAGACCCTGAGGCCCTGAACCGACCGCGATCTGCCCACCCGTGCCAGACACGGAGAAAACGAAAATCGAAAAAGGACGAAATGAGGGCCCCAACGATCACGAAGGAGGAAGTCCGCGCTGCCTGGCTGCAGGGCACATCGGGGGGGGCGCCACCCCAGCGGCTCGACATCCACTACCCATGACCGTCAGCTGCGCAACGTGCGCCAAGAAAAGGCAGCGACCATGACGCACCCAGGGGCCGCCCGCGTGGAGGACACGCATACAGAACTTTTGGCCCCCGCACTGCCGAGCCGGACCGGCTCACTCGGATCGATGCACCGGGCTCCGCCTAGAAGAACACGAGCAAGCGTACGCCCTCGCCGTAATCGGACGGACGTCCAGGGCTCCGCTCGGACACGCCGCTTGGACCGCAGAGACGAGCATAGCGCCGCATTTCTCTTTGACGAGCAACCGCCTGCCGGAAGATCTCACCGGACCTGTTCGCTAAAGAGAAAAGCACAAAGCCATCGCCGGATGTTCTTCGCCGTCTCGCGAAAGACGACGAGGGAGCTTTCACCTTTTGCAGTGTTCACGCACGGACGTCTTTTTCCGAAAATCGGACTCGTTCGTTACGGCGTTACGGCCCGTGACGAGCTCGTTCGTTACGGTGAAACGAACCGTAACGAACCGTAACGAACGAACGGGAATTTCGTTCGTTACGGTGAAACGAACCGTAACGAACGAACGAAAATTCGTTCGTTACGGTCAAACGAGCCGTAACGAGCCGTAACGGACTCAGCCCCAACTATACTCTTTTCCCCAATAGACCTGGGTGTGAGGGGGAAAAAAACGGGTTAATCCGGTTTTTGTCGAAATCGCGGATTTTTTTGTCGATTAACCCGGTTTTTGTCGAAATTCGTGTCGAAGCCGCGAAATAACCTTGATTTCGACAAAAACCTTTGTCCTTCATTTCGACAAAAATCGAAATAACCCGGATTTCGACAGAAATCTTTGTCCCCCATTTCGACAAAAATCAAAATAGCCCGGATTTCGACAAAAATCTTGGTCCTCCATTTCGACAAAAATCGAAATAACCTGGATTTCGACAAAAATCTTCCTGCCCCATTTCGACAAAACCTGAAATAACCTGTATTTCGACAAAAATCTTCCTGCCCCATTTCGACAAAACCTGAAATAACCTGTATTTCGACAAAAATCTTCGTTCCCCACTTCGACAAAAATCGAAATAACCCGGATTTCGACAAAAATCTTCGTTCCCCATTTCGACAAAAATCGAAATAACCTGGATTTCGACAAAAATCCTCGCCCTCCATTTCGACAAAAACCGAAATAACCCGGATTTCGACAAAAACCTCGACCTGGCGCAGGTCGAGCGGGGCAAATAGGGCGGGGCTTGGTGAGGGAAAGGCGCGAGGAAAGGGGCAAGGCCAGGCAATGGGATAAAGTACCTCGGAGAAGGCTCTTCGTCGCTGCGGGCCAGCGGGGTAGATAGGGCGGGATTGCGTGCGAACCCGGTGTCGGATTCCGCCGCCGTAACCTGCACCCCGGGGCCGGACCGGGAAGCGGGTTACGACGAAGAAGGCGAGGGCGCCGCAGTTACGCGTCCACGCGGATACGCGCCCCGGCGGATACGCGCCCACGCGAATACGCGCCCACGCGGCACCCAAAATCCGACCCGGGGTCCGCACGCACCCGCGCGAACGTCCCGACCTCGATTTTGTCGAAATCCTGGTTAAAGTTACTAAACCCCGGACTTCGACAAGAATTTCGAAAAAAACTGAGCTGTCCCGGCGAGCCCGGCGAATCCAAAACCAGACCCGGGCCCGGGGCCCAGTCCCGCCCTATCTGCCCCGCTGGACCTGCACCCAAAACGCTCCCGGGCGAACGTCCCGACCTCGATTTTGTCGAAATCCGGGTTAAAGTTACTAAGCCTCGGACTTCGACAAAACCGAGGTTTAGTAACCAGGATTTCGACAAAACCGAGAACATCCCGTCTTCGACCACCCAAAACCCGATCCGGGTTTTGCAGCCACCCCCGCCCTATCTGCCCCGGGGGGGCAGCACCCAAAACGCTCCCGCGCAAACGTCCCGACCTCGATTTTGTCGAAATCCTGGTTAAAGTTACTAAACCCCGGACTTCGACAAGAATTTCGACAAAAACTGAGTTGTCCCGGCGTGCCCGGCGAATCCAAAACCAGACCCGGGCCCGGGGCCCAGTCCCGCCCTATCTGCCCCGCTGGACCTGCACCCAAAAGGCTCCCGGGCGAACGTCCCGACCTCGATTTTGTCGAAATCCGGGTTAAAGTTACTAAACCTCGGATTTCGACAAAACCGAGGTTTAGTAACCAGGATTTCGACAAAACCGAGAACACCCCGTCTTCGACCACCCAAAACCCGATCCGGGTTTTGCAGCCACCCCCGCCCTATCTGCCCCGGTGGGGCAGCACCCAAAACGCTCCCGCGCAAACGTCCCGACCTCGATTTTGTCGAAATCCGGGTTAAAGTTACTAAACCTCCGACTTCGACAAAAATTTCGACATAACCCGGACTTCGACAAAACCTGGGCTGTCCCGACGAACCCAAAGCCAGACCCGGGCCCGGGGCTCAATCCCGCCCTATCTGCCCCGCTGAGCCTGCGCCCAAAACGCTCCCGCGCGAAAGTCCCGACCTTGATTTTGTCGAAATCCGGGTTAAAGTTACTAAACCTCGGATTTCGACAAAAGTTTCGACATAACCCGGACTCCGACAAAACCTGGGCTGTCCCGACGAACCCAAAGCCGGACCCGGGCCCGGGGCTCAGTCCCGCCCTATCTGCCCCGCTGAGCCTGCGCCCAAAACGCTCCCGCGCGAACGTCCCAACCTTGATTTTGTCGAAATCCGGGTTAAAGTTACTAAACCCCGGATTTCGACAAAAATTTCGACATAACCCGGACTTTGTCAAAACCTGGGCCGTTCCGACGAACCCAAAGCCAGGCCCGGGCCCGGGGCTCAATCCCGCCCTATCTGC